TTTCTTCTACTTATTTGTTTAAAGGCTCTCAGTGCTGTGGTTTGGTTTTTCAACCACTAGTGGCTTGATCTACATAAACGGGGCAGGATGAGCCAGCGTCACCCTCTCTGCCCAGCGGGGACACTCCGCAGCTCGCCCCGCCTCCGGTGGTTCATCTCCTCCATCTCCTGGGCGCTGTGTGTCTTGGATTCTCTGTGGTGCTTTTTCATTTTGTTGCTGAGCCTTCTCTGGGCTTCCCCTGGCCCCTGGGAAGTTTTTCAAACAAATCTCCAAAGGTGATTTTATCTGTGGAGGCTAAAGTTAAAATGGAAATAAGTAACTGTAGCTGTCACCTGCGATATCATCAGGCATTTTTTTTTAGTCCCATCATGTTTTGGAAGAAATGAAAGCCATCTCCTCACAGGAGCGGGGCCCTGGTCCCTGGTAGGAGGGGGTCTCTGGTGACTTCATTCCTCCCGCTCCAAAAGCTCTTATTATCTTGTCCCCAGGACAATTCCCCTTTCTGTGGAGCCGGAGGCGCCCTCTGGACAACACTTGCCCACTGTCCAGAGGCGCAGCTCTGCCATTGTTTGTTGGTGAACACCAAGTGCATCTGCAGCGCAGCCCTCCACGTCGCTCTTCCCCGAGGAGGCAGAGGGGGCTGGCACAGAGGACTGGGGGTGCAGGCCGCTGCAGGGTGGGCTCTGCTTGGAGGGTCATGGTCCAGGGGCCACGCTGCCCAGGAAGGCCCGTGGGGTTTGGCTTTTCTGTTGTTGTTTGGGGGTTTTATTTTTATTTATTTTTTTGTAATATTTTTAGTCTCCAAGTTAAAAAATCTAAAAAACAGCTGGGGATGTGGCTCTGTGGTTCAGCACCCCTGGGCTCAATCCCTGGTACCAAAAAAAATAAAAATAAAAATAAGAGTTGCCGTGGAGACAAAGCAGAGCTCTGAAGCGTCCCCGGGCTCCTTCCTCTTTGTGCACCTGTCTTTGAATCTCCAGTGAGACCTTTTGGGAAAGATGGTTCCCCGTCAGCAAACCTCAGGACCCTGTGGCCCTGCTTGGGAATGGGGACAGCTTGTTACCAAAGGCTCAGTCCTCATCCTAACCCCAATCCAATAGCAAGGACACGGTTTGGAGAAAGGGGAAAAGCAGGTTCATTGTTTTCCTAGCAAAAGAGAAACAGGGACTGCTGTCCCAGAGGCTGGGGTTCCGCCCATGCAGGGACCAGGGGCTTTGAAGAGGTGATTCAAGGCTACCTTCCATGCTCGCTGTGGAGTTGAGTTGTAATTCCCTGGTTGATTTGGGAAATGGCCATTTCTGAGATCTGGTGCCGTCCCCAAAGTCTGACTTGGTTCCTGTGGTGGGTGTGTGCCCCAGGCCCTGTCGTAACTCTGTCTAGGATGGGGAAGAACAGTGACCCTCTGTCCCCTGAGATTAGGGAGGGGGGGAGGTTGGGGGGAGCAGGGGGAGAAGAAGAGAAAGAAAGAAAGATGTCCTTATTAAAAGTAAGTCACAGCAGCAGAGCACAGGGGCTGTGTTCAGAGCATAAAGTGGACCAGGGCCACAAGTTCTCTCGATAGGGGGACAAAGCCACCAGACCAGGGCCAGGAAGGTGCCTCACTGCAAGGGCTGACTTTGACCCCAGGTGACTTCTGCAAGGGACCCTTTCACCCCTGCTGGCGACTGGCTCGTCCCCGGGACCTTCTTCCTCTTTCCTCCCCACTTTGGGTGCTTCCTCCGGGGCCCAGAGGACCCTCCCCTGCCCTGAGCTCTGCTTCTTGATCCTTCCACAGCCTTTTCCTTGCTGGGTTTGATCCCCAGCTTTAGACTCCTCGGCTTTTCGGTTTTATTCCTGGGTCCATTGTGAGAGCTGAATAATGAAGTCCCAAGGGCTCCTCTTGGGCTGGAGGAGACGGAGCAGGGAAACCTGACCTCCCCAGAGAGCCAGGTTCGTCCCTATAAAGGAGCACTGTTCTTCCCAACCCCGGCTCGGCTCCCCTGCAGCCTTCCCCAGGCCTTCCCCAGGTCAGCCGTCCACGGGGCTCCGCCCAGTTGTAGGTGTGGGTAAGCTCAGAGCTCTGCGGATGTGCTTAGGGGACCTCTTGGCTCCTGTCATTCCTTCACCTACCTTCTCCTCTGCGCACCTGCCACCCAACACTGGTGACTCTACATGGATCCTTGGCTCTAACCCTTCCCTACCCTCAGATCCGCTCACCCACAACATTAGACTGTCCACGGGGGAGTCTCGCAGAAATTCCACTCTTAGACCAAACTAGTGCTGTGCGTCTGGCCCTCCCCTCTGACCCGATTTCTTTGGTCTTCCTCTCCTAAAGCCCAGACCCCAAGCCTGGGGTCACCTGGACATCTCGTTATCACAGGTCTGGTCCCACCCCCAGGAAATTCTGCTGGGTTGGCTGAAGGGCCTGGGGGTGTGGCTCAGTGGCAGGGGCTTGCTCAGCATTTGCAAGATCCTGAGTTCATCCCCAGCCCTGCAGATCCAAGCCATCAATCAATCAGTCAATCCATCAATCAGTCAATCAATCAATCAGTCAATGTAGATGATGAAAGCACTCATCCATATAGAGCTTTTACACAAGAGTTTGCTGCAGCCTTCTCAGTGGCCAAAATGGGAACAAACCAATGTCCATCCCCTGACGGACGTACAAGTGAAGTGTGGCATTGGCCCACGGCGGGGTATCATCTGACAATAAAGAGGACTGAGGTCCTGACACTGTGACAACATGGACGAACCTTTAGAGATGATGGAGACACTGAGCCAGTCACACAGTTCTCATGGCTCTGTGACCTGCTCACACGAAATACCCACAACTGGCAGATTCACAGACAGGAGCTATCATGATGGCTTTCTGGGGTTGGGGACGACGGGGGGTGGGGGTAGAGGGTGACGGCTAAGAGGTTCGGTTTTACTTTTTGGGGTGATGAAGATGTTGTAAAATCAATTGTGGTGGTCCCAAACAATTTAAGTGGGTCCGTCCCGTGACGCGTGAATCACACCTCAGAACAGCTGAAATGACCAGGTGGCTGCTGTCTTGAGGACCTCCTGTCTCACGGTGGCGTCTGTCCCCCCATCAGGCTGTTCTAGAGTGTTGGAGGGAGCCCGGTGGCTGTTTCCTTTTCCTCTCCAGGTTTTCCAACCTGGAGGCCCGTCCTAGGCGGTCAACATGGACTGGTTTTGGGTGCTGGGGTGGCACCGCAGGCGTCCCTGTTGCTGGGCCAGTGCTCTACCCTGAGTCACACCCAGCCCCATCCCAGATGTGGAGATGTCTGTATTAGCTAAGTGCAGGAAAGTGTCTCCTCTGTGACCACGTGAGGCCAGGGGCACTGATGCCGATGTGTTCCCCTTTGCAGAACTTTCATGATGGCCGGAAAGCGCAGCAGCACATGGAGACCTGCTGGAAGCAGCTTGAATCCGTAAGTGAAAGCAAACAGCAAAGGCGGTTCCTCCCTCCCTCCCTCCCTCCCTCCCTTGTGCTGGGGGCTGAACCCAGGGCCTTGTGCCTGTGAGGCAGGCCTCCACCAAGGGAGCTGTATCCCCAGCCCGAAAGCAACTCTTTATGGATTTTTTCTGATTCAAGTTTGATTTAGGCTTGAATCGCTCAGTGAGGAAAAGTAGATAAGTAAACAAAAACACTGAAAAGACGCCTTCACAGACATTTCTCCTTGGAATTCCATTTAACTTGCTTCCGGAGCCATTACCTCCATTAAACGTGGAGCCAGAGTGCTCGAGTATTTCTTTTTTCTAGAAGTCGTGGAAAGAGCAGAGATGAGACAGACTTAATGGAAATAAATGCAGATTTTAAAATGGCTCCTGGAGACGTCGACCTACAAGAAACCAGTCCAGAGAGCCGAGGGCTGGGGGGGGTAAGAGTGTCACCCTGGGTAACGGGCTCCGTGTTCCGGGCGCAGAGCAAGCGGCGGTTCGAGCGGGACTGCAAGGAGGCGGACCGGGCGCAGCAGTACTTCGAGAAGATGGATGCGGACATCAACGTGACCAAGGCCGACGTGGAGAAGGTGAGGCCCCGCCTGCCCTCGCCCCCCGGTGCCCGCCCCATAGCCCCTTTCTGATGAGCCACAGAAGGGCTCAGAGTCGGGCGTTTTCCATCCCGAGGAGCCTCCAGGTGAGGAGCCCAGCAGCTTGTCCAGGGTCCAGGACCCCTGCCCATGGCAGCAGCCCGTCTCATGGCTTTTCAAAGACGGTTTCTGGAGGCCGGACAGTGCTTCTGCCGGCTGGGGGAGCTTGGCTGCTTCCAGGCTTGCTCCAAGCACCACACAGGCTGCTGCCCCTCCCTGGAGGCCAGGCTGCGCCTCAGGTCCCTGCGCACTGAGCCGCCACCGGTCTGCTCTGCCCCAAGGCCTTTCTTCCCTGGAAGCCCTTTCCCTGTTTCCCAGAGCCTCCACACTATCCGCCTGTTGAACAGCCGCGTTCCCGCAGGACCCTACTTCCCGGTGGGGAAAGCCATGTGGTTTTGTAGACATCCTTTGCTTTTGCGAGATTAGTTGGAAAGGACTTTAGTTGAAAAATGGCATGAATTAGAATTTGCCCAATTCTGCCAAATTCCTCGCTTCAAGATATGGTGTTTAACCAGGCGGGTGGCACATGCCTGTGATCCCAGCAGCTTGGAGGCTGAGACAGGAGGATCATGAGTTTAAAGCCAGCCTCGCCAACAACTCAGTGAGACCTGTCTCCAAATAAAATACAAAATAGGGCTGGGGATGTGACTCAGTGGCAAAGCACCTCTGGGTTCAATCCCCGGTACAAAAACCTGCCTCCAACCCCAAAATCTAGAGGGGTGAGGATAAGCACTTGCCTGTCAATCATGAGGCCCTGAATACAATTCCCAGCTTCACAAAACAAAGCACAATGAATACTGTATATGTACAATGTAAAGAATATTAAAAGCTGGGCATAGTGGCTGTGCAACTGTAATCCTGACAACTCAGGAGGCTAAGGCAGGAGGATTGGAAATTCAAGGCTGGCCTCAAAAGTTTAGTGAAGCCTTAAGTAACATAGCAAGACCCTATCCTCTAAATAAAACTATTTGAAAAGGTCTAAGGATGTGGCTTAATGGTTGAGTGCCCCTGGTTTCAATCCCCAATACCAAAAAAGAAGTACAGAAGCCGCACCTACTGGCGTAGGCTCTGTCTTAGGCAGCTGGGCTGCTGCTGCTTTGATGGCCCCTCCCGGATATTGCCCTCCTCCTGATCCCCACCCCAGGGCTAAACTCTGTCCTGAATCTGGGCTAAGTCCTTTCCTCGCTCTTCCTCACAGTTTCTCCATGTGCAGATGGACCACCAGTGAGTAGGTCTGTAATTCCGTCTCCTTTTCACCTTTATAGAAACACAATCAGACTTTCCTTAACTCCCTTCCTCTCCCCTTCGTCCCTGTCTGTTTCACGGGGCAGTAGAATGCAGGACTCCTGGTTAGTGTTCTAGCTGGAGTTGGGGAGGTGATCTTTGTGATTCTGCTTTGGTTTTTCTGCAGAGACAGCCCTACTCCCCTGTCCCGACCCCTTGCCTTGGGGTGTGTGTCTTCCTCTGCTGCTGGGGAGCCCCTCCAGGTCTGGTGGAAGCAGTCCCTGGGGACTTCCTTGTCTCCTTGGCTAGAAAGAGGGTGCTCCAAGGTTTTCCCATAAAGAATGATTTTGGTAAATCCTTTGTTGGGTTAAAGTATTTTCCCTCTTTTACCAAGAGGTTTGTTTTTTAAGCTTGATTTGGTACTGAATATCATTAAATATTTTTCTTCTTCCTTTAATTCATTAATGTAGTAAATTACATTAATCGGGTATATTACATTGAACCAAATTAGCATTCCTGGGACAAACTCAATGAGATTATGATGTATATTTTTAATACATAAGTGGAATTTTAAAAAATACATCACTTAAGACGTTTTCCTTGAAATTGGTCTATGGTTTTCATTTCTTGTCTGTTCTCCTCTGCTTTTCTTAGGAGTTTAGAGGGTTGCTCTTTCTTTATTTTTTTCTTTTTTTTTTTTTAGTTGTAGTTGGACACAAAGCTTTTATTTTATTTATTTGTTCTTATGTGGTGCTGAGGATCGAACCCAGGGCCTCGCACATGTGAGGCGAGTGCTCCACCGCTGAGCCACAACCCCAGCCCTCTTTTTTCCTGAAATACTAAAGGAAAGACGAAATTATTCCCTAAATGTTTAATAATACGTCTTTGTGAGAAAGTTCCTAACTACTGATTTGATTTTTTATTCTCTGCTTTTTGTTCCAACCCTGTGGGTTGGTATTCTCACAATACTATATCCATCTCAACATAAAATTTCAATTTATTGACAATCAGGTTTCAACTTAATGTGCAGGGTCCACACACACTGGGAGTTCTGGCCCTCTGTGGTCCCCCCATTTCCAGAACAGGGCTGGGATGGAGCCCAGTGGGGGAGCACATGCTCAGCAAGCCTGAGGTCCTGGGTGCCATCCTCAGCACCAACAGTTTTTTTTCCAGGTCCTCCCCCCAACCCCCACCCGCCTTTCGGGTCAAATCCAAGGCAGTTAACCAAGCGCCGTTGCTGGATCCAAAGGCAGTTTTAGGGTTTTTATCTTTAACATTTATTTATTTTTTAGTTGTAGTTGGACACAGTATCTTTATTTTTTTATTTTTATGTGGTGCTGAGGATCAGACCCAGGGCCTTGCACGTGCTAGGCGAGTGCTCCGCCGCTGAGCCACAGTCCCAGCCCCAGTTTTAGGATTTTTGATGCGTACTGACAGATGGAGTTGCTATCCTCAGTTACTTGAATATTTCCAAAGATGTGGGTTTTTTTCTACATCGAGAGCATCATTTTGCTATTTTTACGAGTAGCGCGTACCTCCTCCCCACGGAGGCGACAGCTTAGTTCGTCTCCGCATCGCACACACAGGAGCGGATGGAACAGTCTGTAAACACTGACGTTTTAAAGTGATTTTGCTTTCTGTCTTGAAACACAGTAATTTCCCAAATTGGGCAACAGTGTGACTGTCGCATCTGTGTTTTCCTTCATTGCTTAGGAAGCTTATGTCAGTGTCAGGCCAAACAGAGGCGGCGTTTCGGTTCTTATCCTCGGTTCCTGTGATTTCTGATGGCCTTAGCATCAGACACAGATGTCTCCTAGGGTTTCCACAAGTGACTGAATTGTCATTGTGCAGGGCATGGCCGTCCTCCTTCTCCTGCAGTCAGCCACGCGGCGCTGAGGATGGTGGCCAGCGCTGGGGGATGGTGGTCAGCGCTGGGGGACGGTGGTCAGTACTGCTGAACTGTGGCCTCCTGTGATTTTATGTGCAGAGTACGCCCTGTGTGTGTGCTATTTCAGATCCGGGTGTGTGCTGATTTTTCTTCTCTTTCTGAAGAGGTGAGCATCCCTCTTGCGGACCCGCAGGTCATAAGCACTATGTCCAAACCACCCACTGAGCCCGCATCCACCCCATGGCATGGGCTGCTTTCCTTCTGGGTTGGGTGCCAGTGTGGCCAGACGTGCAGTGTTCTCTTGCCAGATCTTATCTCTGGGCACGAGTCCATATCTGGGTATCCTGAGGATACCATGTTCCTTAGAGGAACAGTAAGGGAGGGAAAAAGCCTAAATTAGGGGTTTTATTGTCAATAAAAACTTAGGGAACAGTGAAACCCTTTTCCTTTGCCACGATGCCGCTGACAGAGTTTTGAGTCTGAAGACTTCAAAGGACTTGAGAATTTGGAGTTAGTTAATCTGGGTTTGCGAAGGAACCAATAGGTGTTGGAACAGGTCATCTTGTGGCTCAAGACCCAGGCGCTGAACCTGAAGATAAAAACAGACTCTTCACCCCCACCCCACCGCACCCCTGATAACCAGATGGGAAAGAAGGTCCTCGCTACCCAGTTTGTGATGTTGACAAGTCAAAGGATTGATTACCAGAAACATGGAAAAACAAACCGTGCCTGTTCTTACTCAAATATGTCTCCCGTAAACAATTAAAACACTGTAAGCTGAAGCATTCTTTGCCATGCCAGGCCCTTCTAGAGGTAAATACCCTCGCCCCTTGGAGTGTGACCTTCTGACTCTCCCTCCGTCCCCAGGGGTCAAACCCAGGGGCACTTAACCACTGAACCTCGACCCCAGCCCTTTTGATTTTTATTTTGAGGCAGGGTCTCACTCGGTTGCCAAGGCTGGCTGTAAACTTGCAATCCTCCTGTTTTGGCCTTCTGAGTCACTGGAATTACAGGCAGGTGCCACCCTGCCCAGCTCTTTTTTTTTTTTTTTTATGAAATTCTTATGAATCATGACTTATTGATCTAATTGTCTTTTGTGTGTGGTGCTGGGATTGAATCCAGGACCTCCCATGTGCTGGGCAGGCGTTCTACCTCTGAGCTCCATCCCTGACCCTAATTCTTACTTGATGGAATTCCTAAGTGGTCAGGCGTTGGGTCATGGTCAGCCCCTCACTTGTAATGCTGTCTGCTGGCAAGGGATGGGGGTGGCAGACATGCCAACTTAGGATCACACAATTCTGTGGGTGTGTTTAAATGTTTTATTTATTTTTTTGCTTTCTAATATTTTTATGGGATGATCACACAATTCTTTCCTTTAAAGAACTTGCCTCTTATTTCCTCCCTAATGCTTAGTTTGCCGTGCGGGAACTTTCCTGTTTGCCCCTTGCACAACTCCTGAGTGGCATCTGGTGACAGGGACTTTGAGGTCAGAGTTTGTCCTTCACTCTGCTTGAGGCGGTGCCTGTCAAGCCGGGAGGAGAGGCAGCCCCTCGTCTGTGTGTTCTGACGGTGCCGCAGCTGGCTAGTTGGGATGAGAAAGGAAAAGGTTATCAAAATGAATGGAATGTGAAATAATATTTCCGAACAGAGAGAACAGTGTTTTCTAAACGCATGCATTAAACTGGGTTCATCCACGACGGGCAATGAATGACCCTTTCTCCGATTTGCCCTGCCTCGTGACTGCTGCTCTTACATAATTTCTAAACGCAAAATAGGATATTGTCTAACGGAAAGTGCAGCGAGTGCGTGGTGACGGCAGCTGCAGAAA